ACCGTGCCCGCCGCCTCCAGCCCGCCTCCGCCTTCTCCTCCGCCGCCCTCACCATCCCCTCCGTCGCCGCCACCGCCAAGTCCGCCTCCTCCCTCGCCGCCGCCGCCCAGCCCTCCGCCGCCATCACCACCACCACCCTCGCCGCCGCCGCCCTCGCCGCCGCCTGCGAGCCCTCCGCCTCCAAGTCCGCCTCCGCCCTCCCCGCCGCCGCCCAGCCCGCCGCCACCGTCGCCGCCGCCTCCAAGCCCGCCACCCCCGTCGCCTCCGCCGCCCAGCCCGCCGCCGCCATCGCCGCCGCCCCCGTCGCCGCCGCCGCCCTCGCCGCCGCCTCCGTCGTCACCGCCCTCCCCACCGCCTCCCTCGCCTCCGCCTCCGCTGCCACCGCCCTCGCCTCCGCCCTCGCCACCTCCGCCCTCTCCGCCGCCCTCTTTGCCGCCGCCGTCCTGCGTCTGCTCGCCCTACTACGACCTGGAGCGCGGCCTCGCGAGCTCGCCCACCTTCCTCAACTCCACCAACGCGCTTTTTTACACCCTTCAGACCAGCTCAGCCTGGCCGCTCAGCCTCCCCGTCTACGACCCGGCGTGGGGCTGCGCGTGCGAGAGCGCCGAGGACCGCCCCGTCTGGCTCGCCGCCCTCGACCTGTGCTTCTGGTTCGACAACCAGACTGCGACGCAGCGAGAAGCGCTCGTTGGCGGCTCGGGACAGCTGCAGCAGGCGTACGAGCGCGCCTGCAACGCCTTTGCACCGGGCGAGCAGTTCAACGAGTACTACCACCACGTCCGGCTGTGCGCCACGCCCGCCTTTGTGCGCGACCTTTACTTCCTCGCCAGCAAGGAGTACTGCGTGCCCGACAAATCCAACAGCTTCCAGCTCCACCCGCGCCTCGCCCGCGACGGCGCCTTGATGTGCGGCACCGACATCGGCCCGGTCGGGACCACCCAGAGCAACGAGGTCGGCAGACTGCCCCTGCAATATCTTCTTCGACTACGATGCGCTGGCCAACTCCTCGGGAACGGCGCTCGACAGCGTC